AAGAGGATAGACAGGACAGAATTACTACCATGAGAGCAGTATCCGCACCATGGCCTCCCACTTTCAGCCCCAGGTCGGCGAGTGGCATAGGCATTCGCAGGAGATGCGCCCACAGGCTCTAGCTCCAACTAATGCAGCTCCAGCACATGCTCTTCTGACGAGACGAGGGAAATGCTGCACACCCTGCACCTCCACGTCCCAGCCATAGCCAGCCTAGGGCACTGGCATCTCCTGCGTGGAGGGCGATGCCTCAAAGAGGCAGATCTTCCACCCAGCTTTCGTGGAGAAGAGTAACCATCCCCATTCAAACCCGCATTCTGCCCATTTCAAGGCAGAATAGGGCCTGAGAACCTTCCCTTGTTAACTGGGCAGATCTGGGAACGGAAAGGAACATGGGTACGTGCAGGCGAGCCCACGTCGTGACTTCTGAGCAGCTCCAGGGCATTTCTCATGCAGGGCTGTATGGCACGAGCAGGCTGAGCAGGCATGAGAGCTGCTGTGCAATCCCAGTTCCCAGCAGGGAGAGAGCTGCTGGCATCCACATCACCGTGTCACCCCGGACCTGCCTGCAGGTGCTGCCCAGTCTCACAGGGAGCACTGGGGAGCTGCTGCCGTTCCCCTTCCATGCTCTGCTCTGGCAGCATCATCCCTTCCCCCAGCACGGCAGGGCGGGATGCAGCACTGCCGCCGTTCCTGGTGCAGGCAGCCACTTTCCAACCCACGCGGTCCATCGGAGAAGCCCAAGGGACGTGCGCGGTAGAGGTAAAGCTGGTGCATTACATCTCGAGTCTGGCAGCAGCGCAGGCAGGCCTGCCTGGCTGAGTGGGGAGGCTGCTCTCGGTGCGAGCCGGGCGCTAGCCAGCTCGCTGGAGAACGGCGCCCAGGCTGGCACCGCGCTGCTCCGGAGCTGCCAAGTCGAAAGGCAGGAAGGAAGGAAGGAAGGAAGGAAACAGGGACCAGACAGCAAAGCACTGAAACTAGCAGAAAGATGGGACTACAAAGCCACAGCAGAGAGTAAGTAGCACAGGCACCTCCCCTCCCCGGGCTCCCAAACCCTGGTAGAAGCCCCTTGCAACGGCCAGCAGCTTGCTACAATGAGTTGCTAATTAGCAACTGGGGTCTGCTGCTGGGGGATGTGGGGCACAGCCACCTGTCCACAGCAAAGGACTGGCAATGCACAGCTATGTCCCTAGTATGGACATGCAACCAGCAAGCAAAACACCTATGGCTCGCTCCTGCGGGCTGCCTGCACCCCCCGTCTTCTTCGCGCCCTGCCCAAAGAGGGAAGGGAAGGCTACGAGGAGGCACAGGCTGAAGCCGCCACAGAGAGCCTCCATGGCTACCGGGCACCACACTACCAGCCCTCCTGCCCTGACCGCTCGCCCAGAACAGCCTGGCCTTGGCCATGTCATTGCGTTTCTGCGTGGCCCTCATTCATCTGCAAGCCCAGAGCGATTTGGCCTTCCACATCCTGCTTGTTGCTTACACTGCACTCCAACAGCACCGGGGAGAAAAACAGGCCAAGGACACGTCTCCTTTATTCTCCCGCCCGGTGGCACAAACCTGGTTGTACCAGCGCCTCGGTGCGCTCCCGTCTCCCAGCCCAGCCTCGCTCACCCGTCAGCCGGACCACCTTGGAGGAGCCGACGTTTTGCAAAGCCCTAACTACTGATCTTCCTCTGACAGCAAAACGGGG